TATTATATATAATTATATATATATATATATTATATATAATACATATATAACGCACACACACGCACGCACGCACGCACGCACGCACGCACGCACACATACACATAATATTATAATAAAATATAAATAGCTTAATATTTTTTTTATAAAAAATAATGACCTGTATTGATTAAGAATAATCAAAATTATATAAAAATTAATTCTATTATGTTATTTCATTTAGGCATTTGTATCAACTCATATGAATACTTTAGCTACAAATATGTCTAAAGAATTGAAAGATCAATGTGAAGCATCTATACCGGGAATTTGTGAATTACGGGTAACTAAATGTATGGAGTCTCTCTTAGCAGAAGATTCTTTGACATCCGTGAAGGAAATGTGTACTAAAATTGCTACGAGACTAGCTATGGAACGTATACATCAATGGATACAATCACATATAGTGGGTGGATCATTATTTATAAAAGATATGGAACTTGAATTAAATAGATTTTTAAAAAACAATGCACCGTTACATCCAATTGAAGAAAAAAAACATAATCCAAATGCTATGAGTCCAACAACTATCACTGATAATTTAAGAGTAATTATTTTTATATTTGACTTTTCATTGCATAATATTATAATAACACGAATTATTATTAACACAATTATTATTAATATGAAAATATTATTTTTTATATTAAAATTTTTATAGGAATTTATATGGATTATACTTGATAATAGTGGTGATTCTTTAACAATAACGATGATATTAACTGTATTGGATAACTTATATCAGACTTTAAATGAAAGAGCTGATTTAGTTGTGGGGCCAGAAAAAGTTTTATACTCTCTTAGTATAGATTTTGCTTTATTTTTAGGTAAAAAATATTAATATTAAATTATATTAATATAACTATAATTCATTATAAATTGTATATTAATTTCTTTTTTATTTATAGTTTCTTATCGAAGTGATTTGTTTACTTTAAAAGTTCAAGAAAAATTTATTAAAGTATGGGCAATGAATCGTTATAAAGCTTTGGAATTGGATTCATCAATAAATAGAATACTTAGTTCTAGAAACGTTATGCTATTAGCTCAACCAGAAAAAGAAGAAGTTTGGATAGTGTTTGGAAAATTTATTAATAAATTGATAAAAAAAAACGTTTTAGATATTGACAATTTTAGTGATCAATGTGTAGCTTTATTTAGGCAAAATTGGCCTGTGGTAAATATTTTATTATTATAATACTGCGATAAATATCGTTTCTATATTTAATTATTAATTTTTGTATTTTTTATAGCCCATACTAAAACGTTTATCAAAATGTTTAATGGAAGTTATAACTGATTTCAAAGCATCGGATGAAACAACAGAAAAAGTAAAATATTTACTTGGTTGGATAGCTGAAACATATAACGAAATAGAGTTTTGCGATAATTATAATTCTATAGACTGATATTCTTTTAACCATTTATATTTTTAACTTCTTCATAGGCTAATATACTATGTAAATTATACAATTCTTGTGCATATATGAATGTAAATTATTGTACATTAATTAATTTAATGACGAAAGAGATGTGTGTTTCACACTAATTTCGGAAATTGTTATTACCATATAATTGTAAATCTATAACAAATTTTAGTTAACTTTGAATGTATAAAACTCATTAATTCTGTATAAGAATGCGATGAATCTCAAATTTATAACTTGATTGGTTTGACATTTAGCAATATTATTTGCTACTTTTATGGTTAAAGTATTAGTTATTATATCTGTACATATGCATGAATTTAAATTTTTACATATTTTTAAATTTAATATTATTGACTTATTTCCATGTTTGACGTTTATTGTTGCATTTATCCAGTGAATGCGTATTTTATAGTTAACGAAAAATTTTAACTTTTCGTATGTATGAAAATTAAAATAAAGAATTTGTTTTTTATATTTCTATTTATAAACTCCATCCTTACATTATTATTTTTTTTATTCTTGATATTTTTATATTTTCTACAATTTTCTTAATAAAAATAAATCAATTATCATAATATTAAAAATCTTGAAATACATTTATTTTCTATTAATTCTTTAGATATATGCGCAACATAGGATGCGCGAAGGACTTGAGCGCGAACAAATTTCATTGCAGTTCGGCGCCGTTGCTCGACGAGTTCGTACGTATTTTATTGCTTCGTAATTTTTCGTTAAATATCAGTGTTGAGGATCACGTTGTGTTAATTATTTCAATGTATTCTTTTAAATGACGTTTATTTGTTTACTTTTAATATTTTTTACAACAAGAAAAAGTGTTTTTTTTAATATAAAAAACCTATATTTCAAACGGACGTAATCAGTATTTATTTTATTCAATTTCAAACAATAAGGATATGATTTTATAACACGTTAACATTCTTCATTTTATAGAATATTATAGAATATTATTTTATATTTATTAATATGCTAAATCAATAATAATCATTATTGATATTATTGATATATAAAATATTATATTTATTTCATTGGATTAAATATTTTGATATGTGAATGATGATTAGTTATCAAACGAATACGATGTCTTGCAAAAGAAAATGCAACTTCTTTGATAATATCTATTATTTCGCGAGATTTTTTTTCGATGTACTATAAAAACGTAAGATGTTAATAAGAAAAGAGAGAGAAAGAAAAAGAGAGAAAGGACGATAAAAAGTAGTGTTGACAGGTGCAATAACGGTGATCGCGTGTATTGGCTTCATGAGTAAAAAAAAGCGATCGTGTATATATCTAGTTTTTGCGAGTGAAAAAAGATCAATTGACTGATATTCAAGCATACGAACACATTCTTAAAGATGTTACTACATATACAGTGTAAGCGCAAGTTTCAAATATCAAATAACATGATCTACTTCTTCAACTCTTTTTCTTTTAAAGACATCCGTTAATTCGAAAGGATATATGATCCGCGTCCTTAGAACACGTGTTCACTGTCACGTGGTTCGTTCAAGAAAACATGAAATGATCCATGGATTCGCGCAACATCTTTCGAATCTTTTTCATCGAATTAACTATTATTTCTCTACCTCGTGAGGTAAGTTTTTATTATTATAATTTTTTAATAGTTATGAATATTGAATTACAATATTAACAATATTGAATTAAAATTAAATATAAAATTAAATTTAAAATTAAAAATTATAATATTTAATTTATATAATTAATTTCAATATTCAGTAAAGTTCAATATTAACTAAGAGAAATATTAATTATAAAAATATTATTATAAAAAAAATATTAAATATATCTTAGAGAAAAAATGTAAAATGTAAATCTAATGATAAGATAATGATAATAATAAATGATTGTAAATTACGTATGTCAAAATATCTATGTTGAGCAAACATTTGTTATAATTATTTATATATTTATTTATTATGATTATAAGATTTTATTTATTAAATTTGAATATATTGCATTTTTAAAAAAAAATAAGGAATTTCAGTTTATTATTCTTTCTTTTTATCTGTTTATTATTCTTTGATTCATATATTTTTTATTATTTACTTTAGTATTAAAATAATATGAAATAAATTTAAAAGTTAATATTTATAAAGTTCGCAAATAATCGTGATTTAAATATGATAAAAACATTAAATGGAGAGAAAAACATATATCGGTGATCTAGAATTTATTTTGTTTTTGTGAATCAAATTAGAAATAGAAACGATAAAGTCTCTATATTTAAATTTCGAATTCGTATGGGAATAGAAAATTATATGCGAAACATAGAATTTTCGAAATCATTGCAATCCTTTTATACATTAACGAAACATTTTTTTAAATGTTAATCGATCCTATTAAATTTTATTGACAAATCTTTAACAACATATCAATGGAATATTTATCGAAATTGAAAAAATTAAAAAAAAAAAAATTATTTTTCTTTCATCGTTACATTTTTTTTTTTATTTTGTTTTGAAACATTTTTCAAGAAAAAATTTAAATGATTTTTACAAATTTTTGATCAATTTTTGGTTATGAAGCATACGTTTAATAATATAAAAAATATTAAAATTCAATGAAAATGTTACATTGGATTTATACTTGATAATATTTATCTTTTTTCTCTATATTACTATTGATTAATAATAACGATTATACGTAGTTACAAATGTTCACTATTACTGGCAACTTTTGTAAAGGAAGGCCGCAATTTGTGGCTGGCGGTGTCGAACGCCATTTTGATTCACCTCTTTATAGGAAATTACCAGGCCTGTTTCAATTTGCCTCTCCCTGATACGCGAGACTCCATCGCAAATTCAATTTTCTTTATCAATCCTGACTGAAAAAAATATTAGTCTCGTTTTATTTTAATTTCAAATTATTATTTATACGTTACACATTATGTTTTAACATATATTTTAAAAATGCATTCAAAAAATTTTTCGAATGCTATTTAGAGAAAAATCTTAATGATAAATAAAATTTTATTATGTTTAATATAACCTTATTTTTATTTCTCTAAATGAAATTGATTTTTTATTATTTTTTCGAAAATTAATTTAAATTATCCTTAAATTTAATATGCTTATTATTCATTTTTTATCTAAGAATTTCAAATATTTAATTAGAAAATTTTATCTTCATTTAAAAAAATACATTTTTTTCTTTATTTGTATAGATAATATGTAATTTTGATTCTTGATTATTTGAAAAAATTTAATTTAGTTTATTTACGTGAATATATTTAACTATGATATTTAAAAAATTTAGTATTATTATTTTTATTATTAATATATAATGATAATTTTTATATGTATAAAATAATAATATAAAAATATATTTATATAATAATATATATATATTTATATATATAATATATCTCGATATACTTGTATACTGTAATATAATATATATATGTTAATATATCTATAAAGAATAAAAAAGAAAAGTAATATTTTAATAGTTATATAATTTATTTTAATAGTATTTATTCAACTAATATTAATTATGAATCGAGTTTCATATTATTATTATTATTTTCTCCTCTATATATTATTGTGCCTCTATATTAAAATTGTTTATAAAAATAACTTTTACGTATAAAGAATGAAATTCTTTTCTTTGAACTTGTGTAAATAATAAATAAATAAATTAAGATAAAAAAATATAAATAATTTATAAGATATAATAATAATAATAATTTTTCTATCTATAAATAAGAGTTCTTTTTTAAACAATTTTAATGCAAAGACACAAAAATAGTTAAAAATATCCTAATTCTATTCTTTTTAATTTATGGACTCTTGATGATATTTATAAAATTGTTGAAAATATCTGAAAAATTCTTTTTTCTTAATATAATTTAAAATTATTATTACTTTTCTCTAATAGCTTCCATTTATAGCTTATGTTTATATATATATATATATGGCTTATGTTATATATATTATATCTATCATGACTATTTTTAATTTTAGAAAAAAAGATAAATTTCGAGTAGAAAGAGCTAATTTTACCATGATCAAAATTGTATAATATAATTATATAATATTATTTTTAATAATGAAAAAGATTTTCATTGTTTAAATTTTCAGATTTAGTGTGTTTCTATAAAATTAATTTTTGTAATGTAGCAATGTTTTGAAATTTTAATTTTTTGTTTTAACATTTTTTAAAGAATTTTTTTAATTCTTATTTTTATTATATTAACAATTATATTATTTTTTTATTCTTTTGGTTTATAAATTTATTGATATTTCAAAATGAATATATAAAACAATATTCATATTACAAATAAATAAATGTAATAAATAATAATATGAAAAATTCTTGCGAAATGATAATTTTCCATACTCGAGATCTTAAAATTTTTTTTTATTCGATGTTTCTAGATTTTTTTTATATATTTTATTTCGTATTACATTTACATTCTCTGTGTTATTAATATATTAAAAAAAATAAATAAATAAAATTTAATTTGACTTTTGTATTTTATCGCCCTCATTTTGCTAAATCCATCATTGGATTTAAAATTAGATAAGGAAATGATAGAAAACGGAAAAAATTTCACATTAAATTAGTTTCATTATTTCATTTTGTAACAGAAATAATCGTAATACATTTTCTAATAATAAAATTAATTCTGAAACTTTTTGAATTCATTATATATAATTATATAATATTCATTATATATAACATTTTATTTCTTCTTATCGAATAATATAACGTATCTTTTATAATAGTTAATTGTGATAATATAATACGTTACTTTTATGCAAATATCCAATGTTTATTAATCCACGAGATATATCCTTAAGTTATGTATGTAAAACGTAATACGAATAATGTACGAGTTACTTAGTGTGCACAGGATATTGATCATAAATCCTAATTGACATTTCGTGTATTCGTGTGCCGCTCCCTATAGAAATCATAAATCAAAACCCTTTATTCCATATAGATAGATTATATTGAAGAATCAACATCCGAGAAAAGATGTTGCTTTTCAGTTATCTCTTCTATTTCTTTAATATTTTCCTCAATTATTTCCTTTATCCTCCTTTTATCCTCAATTATCCTTATTCGACAAAATTATATTATAATTAGGAGTGAAAAGTGATTAATGTTACAATACATATATATTTATATTATCATATGTAGATACATATAATTTCTCTATTTTGTGTTATGTGAATTCGTATTATAAAACGAGAAATAAAAATAGATTCAAACTAATTCAAAATACGTTATAGTTCAAAATATACGCTACAATTCGATATATTCTGTAATTGAAAATCTGTAATTTTGTGATTTTTTTCTCCATTCATCTTTCAAATTTTTAATTTAATTTTAATATATAACTTTAATTTTTATCGAAAATGTTAATATACATATATATAATAGTATTTCGTTAATTGTACTTTTTGCTCGCTTAAGCAGTGTGAATTTATTTTCATTTTATTTTTTTAAAATATCCACATGTTTTTAAATTATGCATTAAAATATGATTTTTCTATCTCATTTATAAGAAATATTTTTTTTTCTCGTCTTTCACAATCCAGTGAAGCGAGAAAATTGAAAAAAAGTTATTAACAATTCACAAAACATTTCATAAAGAATTGGCGCATTTCATTGTCAAACCTGCGATAGTTATTTACGCATGTATACATATATTCTTAAAATAGAAAAAGAATATATATGTAGAGTATTATTCATGAAGTATTATTCGACTCTCAAAATAAATATAAAAATGTTGATTCAGATTATTTATTTAAGTTATAAGTAATTTATTAATTTGCATTAGATAAAGCGAGGTAGGAATATAATAGGAACAAAGACAAAATGATCTCTATTTTCCTTTATTTTACTTCATTTAATTTCAATTATAGAAAGAATTATAACTTAGAATTATAATTTAATAATATAAAAAAAAATATAGCAATTTTTGTGTTTGACTTTCCAAAGTATATATCCCAAAATATATTATTATATCATATATATTATCATATTATTTGTATATTTAATATATATATAATATCTGTATATTTAACACTAGATAATCAAACTCGTCAAAATGATGGATTTTATATTTTTTATTTTACAATCATTCAAAATATTTTTGACAAAATTAGTTACTGTAAATTATTGAAATAGAAATTACTTATATCTTTATACCTATATCTTATTTTTATGACAACATTTTAATTATTTAATCATTTATTTATACTTAAAACAGATTAAATATTACAATAGTATAATGTTAATATACATATGCACCGTGTATAGAATAATTATTTGTATCTTATTGTTAATTATTCTAAAAGAAATGAGAAATAGAAGTAATAAAAATATTATATTTCTATATTATCGTAGATGTGAGAGTAACGAAGAAATGGAGACACTTTATACAGGAGCGATCCATGGGTTTCCTCAATCGAATGGCGGACTTACTAATGGAATTTCGACGGGAATGGGTAGCTCGTTCGATCAAGATGGTGTCTTGAGTCTCATTGTAGTTTTAGGAGGAAGCTTGTCTCTGGTGGCTCTAGTCTTTGCCTTCATTACCTACAGGTAAGTTAAGTCAAATCTATTCGATGATAAATGATTAGAGAGACAAGATATAAATTTTCTTTTCAAAGGTGTAGGATGAAATGCTTGCTTAAGTAGAAACAAAGTAAGTATTTAAAAAAAATTTTGTAGTTATCCAACAAAGATATTGATTTTTATTTTTGATGCGACCGAAATTTGAAATTTATTTACTTTCTTTGTCAAATAAAAGAACAGCGAATGAAAGTGAAAAAAAAATCGAGAAACCGTTCAAAGAAAACATATAAATAAAACAATATTGCAATGGTGAAATTTTTTTTTTGGTTTCTCTAAATAAAATTTTTGCTAACATATTAGTAAGGTTTCTTTATACGATTTTAATATAAAATAAAATCGAACAAGATATATATTTTAGATTATATTTGTATACTTAAAAAGTAAAAAATATTTATATATGATTTAAGTTATATCATGTTTGATATTATTTTAATTAAAGAAATTTTAAAATTACGTTTTATAAAAGTTTTAAAAAAAATTTTAAAAAATCGAAAATAAAAAATTTTTACCGTTGTATTATATCACGTTTCACAGATTATATGATTATATGATTTCACAACGAGTTACATTTTGCCCTCTTTAGTTAAAAATGTTCGAGAAATTTGAAGTTTTATCATTTTTCTGTACTCAAAATAAATGAATTAGATTGTGTCTATCTCTATAAAATTT